GTTGCCTGGGCCCGCCGCGTTGCCGTGAGCACCCCTGAAAGCCAAGGGTCACGGCAGCCCCGCGTTCAGGAGCGGTTTGGCTGGCCCAGGGGAACAGCGGGTTCTGAAATAAAAATTAACACAGCGACACCTCTCTAGGCTAGCGGGAAGATATGGTTTCGTCTGAATCGTATTCAGGGCAGAAAGTATCTGAGCACTGTTTACCTTCCCCCATAGAGGTACTTCAGCCTTCAGCACTAGTAAAGGGGAGGCTTCCCACCAAAAACACAAATGGGGAGGAAAAGCCACTGCCTGGCTGCTCCTGCCTTTTAGGAAAGGACATGCTGTTTCACTCCCAGACTCAGTCGTTCCAGTTTTTACTATGGCCTCATTAAGAACAATTCACAAATAGCCATCTTTCTGCGGTCTCTTTACGCTCAAAGTGCTGTAGTTCAACTAGGGTCTGTTACAGGCTGGCCAGACACCGTAAAATTGTGGAGCCTGAAGTGGTTGGAGACAGCGATTCAGAGGTGGAGGGAGAAGCTTGGCGGCTCGAACGGGAGGACACCAGCGAAGAGGAAGAGGAAGAGATCGATGATGAGGTATGCTTGCAGACCTGAACAGACTTGGCTTAAGAAAGCCCCTGAATGACACAGGCTGGAATAACCCATGTACGTGTGGAAAAGGCTATCTGGTGAAACTAGGGAGTTTCAGGACTTGCAGGTCACTCCATAGCTGGCCATGACTTAACTCTGGGTTACCTGTCTCTTGCTGCGAGGTGGGACGCTGGGTGAGGCCACCTTCCATCCTGAGGGACGGGAACATCTTTTTGTAACAAAGAGGTTCCAGACATGTCACTTCTGGCACAAAGAATCTGAAAGGAATTGGCTTCCTGCCTGAGGCAGAAAGTCTGTGGGGAAGGGAGCGGTAGCAGGGCTGCTCCACTGACTCCTCTGTGTTTGATGCACCTCCATTAGGAGATTGAGCGTCGCCGTGGGATGATGCGCCAGCGAGCGCAGGAGAGGAAGACCGAGGAAATGGAGGTGATGGAGTTGGAAGATGAGGGTAGATCTGGAGAAGAGTCTGAGTCAGAGTCCGAGTATGAGGAGTACACAGACAGTGAGGATGAAATGGAGCCACGTCTCAAACCTGTCTTCATCCGCAAGTAGGTGACACGGTCAGGCAGGTCGGTCCTGTGTGAGGATGCAGGAGGCAGCGGCTGGGCGCCAAGCAGACGGTCACCGCTGTGATCTCCGCTTCGTACAGCGGGGCGGTAGCACTGCCTGCCTCCTAAGGGGAGGTGACAAATACCAGCCTGGCAGGGCACAGCTGAGGAGTAACGGGTGTTCGCTGAGCGGCCACGGGCAGCTCTTGCAGCTGTGTCAGGTCACTGCGTGGGACCAGCCGGTGGGTTTCATCGCAGCAGGGTTGTGCTAGGGCATTTGGGCAAGCGCTGTACAAAGAGCTGGGAAGCTGGCAGAGGGTAGTGCACCACGGCGGGTGCCTCGCGCTCTCTTCTCTCCACGCATGCCTGTAGCTGTAGGGGGAATTAGCAGGGCTGCCCTGGCTTGGGCAACAGCAGGAAGGGGAGAGCCCTTGAACTTGGCTCTTACTTGGAGAGTAAGGGCTAAGGGTCACTGCAGCACGGGAGCAGGATAAGTCTGTGAGGGGTTCGGCTGCATGGGCTCACGCTGAAAGGTTGAAGGCTTTTGTGGTCTCTGTCTATAGGAAGGACCGGATCACGGTTCAGGAGCGAGAAGCAGAAGCCTTGAAGCAGAAGGAGCTGGAGCAGGAGGCAAAGAGACTAGCAGAGGAGAGGCGCAAGTACACGCTCAAGGTACTGCGGGGCTGGCTGGGGGTGGCACAGGGAGGGTGGGCACTGCAGCAGGCTTACTTTCACCCTTGCTGCAGATTGTAGAAGAGGAAGCAAAGAAGGAACTGGAGGAGAACAAGCGTTCGCTGGCAGCACTGGATGCACTTGATACAGATGATGAGAACGACGAGGAGGAGTACGAGGCCTGGAAAGTACGTGAGCTGAAGCGTATCAAGCGGGATCGTGAAGAACGAGAAGCGTAAGTATTGTCTCTGCTTAGATCTGTGGCTGAGCGTCGGCAGGCCCAGGCCCTGCACCCTGCAGGCCAACTGACGGTTGAGGCCTCTCTTCCTCAGGCCTGCTTTTGACAGCACACTCTTACCTAGACAAAGCATCCAAAACATTTCCTCTCCACCCTCAGGGTGGCCTTGCTCCGCTGTGGAGTCAGTAAATGCAATCCCTTAGAAAGGCTTTCTGCAACACTAATTGTCCCGAAACATTGCCGTGAGAGGTGCTGATTCTAAGGGTTTTTTGTCCTGCCAGCATGGAGAAGGAGAAGGCAGAGATCGAGCGGATGCGGAACCTGACAGAAGAGGAGCGCCGTGCTGAGCTTCGGGCCAACGGCAAGGTCATCACCAACAAGGCAGTGAAGGGCAAATACAAGTTCCTGCAGAAGTACTACCACCGTGGCGCCTTCTTCATGGTGAGCGATGCTGCCGGGGTACGGTGGGACGTGCGAGCAGTTCCGTACGGGGCCATCCTGTGCTGGCTCAAAGCTTGTGAGGTTGAGGTTTCCCAGCGAGACAGAACAGAAGCAGCAGAGCTGTTCCCCCAATGCTGCTTGGGTTGGTAAATCCTGTCAGAACCAAGCTAGCTCCGCACTGGCTACAGATCAGGCTTAGGCTCTGGAGAAGTGGCCTGAGGACGCCCAAGAGTGACTGCAAGAGGGCAGAACTCGAGTTCCCTCACCTTCCTGCAGTAGCTTAAGTAGGACCACAAGTGCCGTGACAGTCCCCAGGAAAGCGATGATGCAGGTCTCTAGTGACTCTTTCCACTGCAGTCAGCTGCCAGTGCTTGCCGGAAACCTTCAAGTTGAGCAGGTGCGTGCTCTTCCTCCCACAGGATGAAGATGAGGAGGTGTACAAGAGGGACTTCAGCGCCCCTACCCTGGAGGACCACTTCAACAAGACCATCCTGCCCAAAGTCATGCAGGTAGGTGTGCTGGCAGGAGGGGACCTGTCTGCAGCTGCAGTGTGGAGGGGGCGGTCCCCTCAGCTGGGGCAGGAGGCTTCCTGCAGTCGGTGGGGAAGGGCAGTGGCACGACAGAGTCCCTGCGACTTACCCAAATGGCTGCTCATAAGATTTTCTGCTCCACAGGTCAAGAACTTTGGGCGCTCCGGGCGAACAAAGTACACGCACTTGGTGGACCAGGACACGACTTCGTTTGATTCTGCCTGGGGCCAGGAGAGCGCGCAGAACACCAAGTTCTTCAAACAGAAAGCAGCAGGCGTACGAGATGTCTTTGAGCGACCATCAGCCAAGAAGCGAAAAACCACTTAAGGATGCGCACAGGACAGTGTCACGTGGCTGACTACAGGGCAGAAGGCGCTTGTCTGTGCCCGCTACCCGAAAGCCTGGGCGGGCCTAGAAGGGACAAAGTACTGTGTTGCCCATACTTATCCTGAGCAGCTGCTCCTCTCTGTGCTCCTGCACTGAGCCCCCCCCTCCACTCAGTGGCACGATTCGTTCCCAGGGCTGCAGAGTCTCAGCAGACTCATGACCTGAATCTTTTGTGGAGGAAGACGGTCTATCTGTGCTGACCAGGCCCACGGCCACATCACCTTTCCACCATCAGCAACTCCTAGGCAGCAGATACTGCCCGTGCAGGAGCTTAGCAACTCCCCCTGCTCCCAACACTCATTCCTTTCACAGGAATTAACGGACTTTACACTTGTCTGTTCCAAAGCATCTCCCCATTGCTCGTCTTTCCCCTCCAGTTGTCAAGTTGGGCCCTTTTTTTTTTTTGGTTTGGAACAGCTGTGACACTGTCTCCTCACCTTGTTTCTGCAGGGCTTTGCTTTTCTACATGTGCAGTGGGGATGGAACAGGATAGTTTTGAATAAAGCAACTGTTTTCTTACAAATTCTGGTGGTGTCTTTGCAGAGACCTGCCAGGGACTCAGCTCTCCCGTTCCGTGCCTTGTGCGTTGGGCAACAGCCAGGGCTCAGGACCAAGACGGTGTCCGGCGTGCGCTAAACCAAGGGCAGCCTGGTGTAGTGCAGGAGGTGCCTGTCACCTCATGCAGTTCGCTGCCGTTTCCTTACCGTCCTGCAGAGGGTGGTCGGCTCCGGCACAGCATCCCCATGGTTTGCGTTGGTCCTCCACCGGGAAGGGGAAACGCAGGTTTCCCACAGTGATTTGGTGGGCGCACCACTGCTCTTACAGGCGGCATCAAGGGAACTCCTCATTTCAAGTACCTGACTGCTCTCATGGGCCAGGTGCCAAGAGGGGCTGAGGGGGCAGAGGGACTGGCAGGCTTCAGGCTAGCCCACACCTTTGGGCTGCTTAGCCTCAGTCTAAGGGTGACCCTCTTGAGAGCCGGCGAGGCAGCATGCCTCCAGCCCCTGAGTTACGCCTAGATTCATACAAAGGCGAGAACAGCAGCAACACCGTGTTTCCCTTTCAAACTATCTCACACAGCTGCACTCCTGCTAGTGTGTAAAACAGAAAATAAACTGACAGGAACCATTAGCCTCCAGGGAGCTTTGCTGAGCTCGGGAACAAAAGGATCGGTCCAGCAGAAGGCTGTGACACCCCTCAAGAGAAGTGAGATTGAAAGCACAGAGAAGACTGGTACCAGCATTCAGGCAGGGTCACCTTATCCCCAGGGAAGGGTGAGCAGCCGCTGCCGGTTACAGGGCCTCCCTCAGGTGTCACAGCCCGATACCAGCACCTCTTCCCGACGCGCCGCAGCCCAGGGCCCGGCGCCGGCACAGGGGCATCACTGGGATCGCTCTCACCAAGCGAGGGGCGAGGGCTCAGCTCCGCATGAATTACAGTCGTGGGTCACTCCAGCTGGTGCCTTTATTCAATAATTTAACACACGCAGTCCACAGCCGGCACCGCGCTGGGCAAGGCCGTGCCCAGGGCAGGTAGCGGCAGACGCGTGCGGCGCAGTCCTGGGAAGATGGGCTCAGTTGGTGAGGGTGATCAGGGCCTCCACCACGTCCCCCATGTGCTCCCGGAGGCTGCGCTCAGCAGCTGCCCGCGAGATCTCCATCTCGTTCATCTGTGGGAAAACGAGCAGAGCTCAGCGCAACGGACCCAGCCAGCGGCGCAGGCCGGGCTCTGCGAGGGGTCAGCAGCAGCAGGAGCTGTTCAGCTGCTGTCCCAGCCTGTTCCAGTGCCGCACGTGCGGCCCAGCAGACAAGTATTTGCCAGCCACGTCTTTCAGCGCGGTGTTTCAGTGACAAGACACTGACTGCACGCAAGGTTTGGGACATGCCACCACCTGCTCAGCTTCCTGCCGGTACTTACAATCAGCTCCAGGTCTTCTTTCTTGATAGTGACTTTTGCTAGTTCTTTTTCCCTATAATACAGGGCAAACTGCCAGTAAGTGACATGTTTCCATATCCAGTTACCACCCTCACACACACATTTACTTATGAGCTATGACTAGAGAGACCAGAGATGCCTTGCACAAACACAGTGGTGTGCTTCAGGAGGAGGTTCAGCTGCTCACAGAATACACCTGATTTCCCAAGGGAAGTCTGGCTGCGTACTTGCCACCTCACGAGGTGGAAGTGTAACTGCTGAGAAGCCTGAAGCCCCAGTCCCGTGTGGGCAGTCCCCATCCATCCGTTCAGAAGAGCAGCGGCAACCGCTAGTGCAAATTTGGCAGATGGGACAGACGCAAGAGCGAAGGCTGCAAGACGAGCACACAGAAGATGGCCCCCCTAAAGCCCCAAATAACGTGTGAGGAAGTGCTATTACCTTTCCTGCTTTGCTTTCTGTTCCCTGGACCTCCGGTCTCCGATCACTGACATGGCCTAGCAAAACGAGCAGAGTCTCCTCAGCACACAGCACCAAGCAGGTGACTGCTGCACCGCCACCGGAACAGGTACCGGAGGGAGCTGTGCCGGGGCGGAGGACCCCGAGCGGGGCCACGCCGGGCGAAAGCCTCCGGCTGCCCCGGGCTGGGCTCTCCGACCACACCACGCCCCGGCCCCGGCCCTCCCGGCCCCGGCCCTCC